GTATCTGAAGCTATTCGATTTTTGTGAACAATACTTATTTGGCAATAATATGTTTCAGATTTTATTATAAACTTATTAATAATGCAAGCCAATCAAAAACAAGAAATACCCGAAAATGAGCAAAAATACGTTCTTCGATGCGTATGACTAACGACACAACTCATGCGCCACAAGTAGGTCGTTATTTCCTTCAAATCTCTACTTAATAGATGCGCAGAAGGGCTGGATATTCTTCGAATATAGGTGAACATCACAACACAACCCACCGTGATGGGAAGCGGAATAAACAGCCGAGTTCAGTGGTAGTTGTATAGGGTATCGTATAGTCGGACCCGTCCGACTATACTGCTCCACTCACTGGATTTAAAGAATATTTGTCCAAAAGACTATTTAAGACTTTGATCTTTCAAAAATACTATTTTAATCACCCTTCAAGATGCGGCCGTTTTAAAAAATATTTTTCAAAGGATTACACCATGTGTGAATATTTTAACCATTAATTTTTAAGGACTATTCCAGGCGATAGGTTTAAACAATTTTTTTCAAGCATTATTTAAAAAAGTTTTGAAGGGCTATTCAAGGCAATAAAAAATTATTTTTTCAAAGCACTACCTTGAGCTTGGATTTTCTATAAATAATTTTTCAAACCAAAACCACATCCGGATTTTTTTAAAAATAGTTTTTTCAAAGGACTATCTCAAGCATTGAATTAGTATAAACAAAAAAGAAATGTATTTTTAAAAAAGAACCACAAACGAGGATTTTTTATATAAAAAAATCAAAGGCCATTGTGTGGATATTTTAAAATCATTTTTTAAAAAGACAAACGAACCCATGTCCTTTTTTAAAAGTCTAAAGGACCAAAGGGCGAATTCCTTGCCATAGAATCCATTGAACTTAACAATAAAAAATATAACATCCTCCCTTTTCCTTTATTTTCATTTAATTTTATTTCATCTTCTCCTCCTTATCATTGGCTTCAGAAAATATCCTCTAAATGCCATAATCCTTTTTGTCACAACAAAATTCCTCGTTCTTCATTTTCCGTTGCTTCGGTTGCAAGTGTACACGACTTGTCACAACGACCAGCTGGGCGAGTATTTCTGTGTGTAGCGGCAACTAATCCCTTTTAATAAAAGAAATGTCATTTGATTTGAACGTCTGAACATTTCCTCTTCTAATCAAGAGTGAAAGCAAAAGGAAGAAAAGGAAATTCAAATAACAAGTGATTCGGAGTTAAGGTTTGCGGGTGTGCGGATGTATGTGTGCGCGAGTGGAAATGATTACTGCTTCAGGGGAAGAAGAGTTAAGAATAGAATTAGGAACTGTTACATTTTATGGTCATGTGACAGTTTGCCATTCATTCGCTAGTTCCTCTGTTCATTCATTCATGGAACTATAATCGTGGCTAAAGAAACAGAAGAATAAAATATAAGATAGAGATAATATAAAAACAATAACAAAAAAAATGCAATGAAGGGGAAGGACTGGAAACTATGCGAGTTCTTCAGAGCAGAATAGAATCTCTATAGACAAACTAAAGAGAGTCTTTTTAGACCAGCTGAAGGGAGTCTCTATAAACAAGCTGAAGGGAGTTTCCATAGCTAAGCTAAAGGGAGTGGAGTCACAGAGACTTTCACAGGGTAGTTTAAGGGTCATGAAACCCTATATATGTTCTAAAACTCGTGGGGTATTTTATATACAAGCCGAAGGGTCTGGAAGCCTTTAATCGATCAACTGAAATTCAGGGAGTCTTTCTCGTTAGCTCAATCGTAATTGTTTAAAGATCAGGTGAACAAAACTTGACCTTTAAAGACTACCCGAAGCTTAGGTAATTCAGAGAATCTTTCAGGTAATTTTTTAAAGATCAGCTGAACAAAACGTGAGCTCTGGTAGAACCAGAGAGTCATTCAAAGACGAACTACAGTTCAAGGAGCATTTCCCAGACCATCGAAAGCTTATATCGAACTGAAAGGGCAAGTAACCATTTATAAGCGTGCTGAAGCTCATGAAGTCTTTCATATAAAAGCAGTTTTTTTTATAGATGAGATTATGGAGTCTTAGATAGATGCGTTAAATGTCCATAGAGTATTTCTTACACGAACTTAAGCTCTCGGAGTTTTTACAGAGCGGTTGAAGAGCCTTCTACGGGCGAACTAAAGGCCTTTCATAGACGTGTTAAAGATCTGCGATCATGTTTTAAGAATGTTGGCGCTCAATTATTCCTTGATAGACGATCTTCTTTTAGACAAGCTGACGCTCAGGCAGACTTTGATAGACGTTCTGTAGCTCCGGAGAGTATTTCATAGAGACCTGAGGAGATATGAAGCCATTCATATACGTGATGAAGCTCAGGGAATCTTTGATAGATGTGTCGAAGTTCTAACGAGTCTTCCATACCCAAACTTAAGCAGAGGAAAACTTTCGTAGAGAAGCTGAAGCGTCAGGGAGCCTTACAAACGAGCTGAAGGAGTACAGAGACTTTCGTAAATGTAATGATGCTCATGGAGTCTTTCTTAGATGACCTCACACTTAGACAGTCCTTAACAGACGTGCTGATGAGCCGAATATCCCTCCACATACTAACTTATGCTCACGGAGTCGTTCACAAAAGAATTGAAGAGAAATAGAGACTAAAGGACTTTTTTTAGGAGGCCGGGAAGCCATTCATATACATGATGAAGCTCAGGGAATCTTTGATAGACGTGTCGAAGTTCTGAAGAGTCTTCCATACCCAAACATAAGCTCAGCAAAACTTTCGTACAGGAGCTGAAGCGTCAGGGAGCCTTACAAACGAGCTGAAGGAGTACAGAGACTTTCGTAAATGTAATGAAGTTCATGGAGTCATTCCTAGATGTCCTGACGCTCAGACAGTCCTTTAGAGATGTGCAGAAGGGCAGAGCATCAGACTAACTATAGCTTACGGAGTCGTTCACAGAATAGTTGAAGTGAAATGGAGACTCAAGGACTTTTTAGGAGGGCCGAAGGGTCAGGTATTTTTTTTTTTTTAATTTTTAATAATGCAAGCCAATCAAAAGCAAGGAATATCCGAAAATGAGTCAAATACGTTCTTCGATGCGTATGACTAACGACACAACTTATGCGCTACATGAACGGTCTTTATTTCCTTCAAATCTCTACTTAATAGATGTGCTGAAGGGCCGAATATACCTCTACAGACTAAGTTAAGCTCACGGAGTCGTTCACAGAAGAGTTGAAGATAAATAGAGACTCACAATGTTTTTAGGAGGCCTGTAGGGCCAGGACAATTTTGATAGATTATCTGAAGCTATTTTTTTTAGCTTTTATTTTTTGAACAATATTTATTTTGCAATAATATATTTTCGATTTTATTAGGAAATTATTAATAATGCAAGCCAATCAAAAGCAAGAAATATCCGAAAATTAGTCAAATACGTTCTTCGATGCGTATGACTAACGACACAACTCATGCGCCACAAGAACGGTCTTTATTTCCTTCAAATTTCTACTTAATAGATGCGCAGAAGGGCTGGATATCCTTCGGTAGACTAATTTAAGCTCACGGAGTCGTTCACAGATTTTATTATGAACTTATTAATAATGCAAGCCAATCAAAAGCAAGAAATATCCGAAAATGAGCAAAAATACGTTCTTCGATGCGTATGACTAACGACACAACTCATGCGCCACAAGAACGGTCGCTATTTCCTTCAAATCTCTACTTAATAGATGTGCAGAAGGGCTGAGTATCCTTACACAGACTAATTTAAGCTCACGGAGTCGTTCACAAAAGAGTTTAAGAGAAATAGAGCCTCAAGGTGTTGTTAGAACGGCTGAAAGGCCAGGAAATCTTTGATAGAGTATATGAAGATCAAGTAGTTATCATAGTCCCGCTAAATAATTTAGACGGCCTGGCTTTGAAATATTTATTGAAACTGAAAATCTTTCGTGGAGTATATGAAGGACCAGGTACCTTATTATATGTGTGCTGAAACTCAGAAAATCGTTCATAAAGGCTAATGAGTCATTCATAAATGAGCTGAGGTGCAGGGAATCTTTCTTATGGGAACTGAAGGGTCATGGAGACGAGCTGAAGCTCAGATATACTTTCATAGACGAAATTGGATATGCCCACTGTTCTGTCTTTTCTCCTTTTTAGCATTGATATTACTTTCATCAGATTACCTCCTTCCAAGACAACAAATCTAAAATAAGTATGTTTATATCCCACCATTTCAAATCTCCCACCACAAATTATATTTTCGCATGTAAATCTTTAATTAGTCAGCCAAATGCACACACACACACACACATTCACCATATTTCATTAAATCCAGCCACTTGAATAATTAGTAAATGACAGGAAATGAGGGTAGATGAATTAGGTTACAATGATTAAATGTCAAATGACTGGATGGATATGGCTTAAATGTGATGAAGGTGGAAGGGTGTGCTGTTTATTTATTTTTTTTTGGATAGGAAAGGTTGGGATTAAATTGCAGCTGACATTTCAATTTTTGTTTAATTGTGGAATTTTTTATTTTCAACACCATTTGTGGTTCACTTAAATGTCATTCAAGTCGAATACCAATTATCTATATATTGGAAACATCAGGAAGGTCGCTGTCTTATTGTCCATTCAATATTAAATTGTAATAATGAATGCCTGCGTGGCTTTTTATATTCATTTGTAATCCCCAATGCGTATAAGTAGCGACGTCAATCATACGCATAGGGTGCCACCGTTTCATATGTACGTATACGTAGTGACGTTATTCATACGCATAGGGGTCACAATTTCATGTGTGGTCATTTTAATTACTAAATCTTATTTGAGATTTTATATTTTTTGTATTAACCTAAATGTATGACGTTACTTATACGCTCTAATAACATCTAACATCATCATTAGTTATTTTAATAAACATAATTACTAGCTCATATTCAATACTCATTATATTTTTTTTTCCTATTTACCCTTACTAATTAACAATTTTCTCTTTTTTTCAATTTTACAGCGGTTGGTTAGGCAGTGCCAAGGGTTGGTTAGGCAGTGCATCAATACCATCTATGCCGGCCATGCCTTCAATGCCCACAATGGCTATGCCATCCATGCCAGCTATGCCTTCTATACCATCCATACCTGGTCTGCGCAAGGGCGGCGAGGAGGGCGCCGAAGGTGCCGCTGCCGCTGGCGCAGAAAATGCAGCAACTGTCACCGGTGGTGAGGATGACGACAAATCGAGGTATCTTAGGTATGGGCCCCACAACTTTCTTAATGATGAAAGGAAATTTTGATATTTTTTAACGGAAAGTTACAACTAAAAAGAAAAAAAAAACAACAAAAGAAAAAAAAAACAAAATAATCACCCCAAAGGAGTTTGTAATGAGTTTGTGATTTTGTTCGAAACCGTTTGTTAACAAAGTTCTTTATTTGTTTACATAAATATTCTGTTTTTGTTTTTCTAAAGCCACAAATATTTATATTTCCAAAGCAAATAGCAAATAACAAAAGCAACAAAAAACATGAAATGCTGAAGTTACAAAGTTCCAATTTTTATCATTAAAAATATTTAAATTCCAGTTAAATAATATTTAGTTAGTTACAAGAGTTTTTTTATTAGTTCTTAATTTGTTTTTATAATAATATTTATTTTGCAAATGATTTTTTTTTAGATTTTTTAAGGGAATTATTAATTGTAAAAGCCAATCAAAATCGAGGAAATACAGATAACTAGTCAAATTAGTTGTCCTATGCGTATGAGTAACGACACTACTTATACGCCACATGGACGGTTTTAATTTATTTCATTTTTTCGTCAATTTCCAAGGCATTTTCTTCAAGTTTTTTTAATAAAATTAATTTATTATGAAATTGCGGCTGTATAATCAATAATTCCCTTTGTTAAAATGTTCCTTATATTCTAAAATTTACCAGCGTTATATTCAGGTGTAGTTAGAGTGCGTTACTTTTAATTCTTTTTTATATTTCAACTTTCCATTTTCTTTATATTTATTCCTTTCAATATTTGCTTCAAAGCTTCAATACTTTATATATATTATATTATTAATTTTTGAAAACTAAATTATATGAAAAAAAACATCTTGAAACAGATCACACTTTAAATTTTAACAGACAAACGTTTTTGCAGGAGAGATTCAGGTCAGTTTTAATACAGGCTAAAATATTTATGTACTATTTAAGTCCTCAAAATGTCAAGGTATTATTTTTAGGGCAGAAGAAAGATGAGGACATTTCTTGAAGAACTGATGTACAGAAAATCCTTATAGAAGTATTCAGCTTTTCATGGACGACTTTCATAAAAGGAAAGCGATTTTTCTTGAAAAGGAGGAAACTTAATCCGAAAAATAGTTCATAAACGAGCTGAAGGAGCGACAGTAAATGTGGGTGAACTAGAAGGAGTCCTTTTATAATATCTGAAGGTGACGTGAAGGCCATTCCGAATTTGTAGACTATCAGAAGACTATTTTATAATCGACCTGATGTTAGTATTTTATAGACGAGCTGAGAGTCTTTATAGGCGAACAGAAGAGGGTGTTTTTAGACGAACAAACGACAGTTTTTCTAGCTAAAGCAGCTACAAATCAGCTAGCCTTTAAAACTAATTTAAGGGGACATTTGATAGACGGGCGGAAGTTAATTTTTTTCTAGATGGGCGCATTCAAAGGCGGAAAGTAGTTTTTATCGACAAGGCAGCTGGCATCTTTATAGATTCTTTATAGGTTATATAGGAGACCTTCAGATCCATTGCCATTCCAAGAAAAGATATGGAGAGATCCGTAGTGGAGAAAGGCGATAGTGAAGACAAGAAGCTAAAAAGGAAGTACAGAGGAAGCTATTACGTTGCACTTTCGCAACCACTTAAGGGTTGACAGGCTAAAGGGTCAGGTAGTTTATATAGACGGTCTATGGTAGGAAAACTTAATAGAAAAACGCAGTGATTTTTTTTGGAAATTCATGTAGCTTTCATAGAATATCGAACATCACAGGCTTGTTGAAACTGATCGGGAAATGGTAACTATTTAGTTGAAGATCTTGTGTCAATAAGAAGCAGCCTGAAAGTTCCTAGAATCTTTATGTACGAAGTGAAGGCTCAAGCAGATTGTATTTTTAATCTAACTTAAGCTCACGGAAGTCTTTCACAAACGAGCTGAAGGAACACTGAGACTTTCGTAAATGTTCTGTAGCTCATGGAGTTTTTCCTAATTCATAGAATATCGATCATCACAGGCTTCCGGAAACTGATCGAAAAGTTGCAAGCAAGCTGAAATGTGAAGTTTCATGTAATCCCAGAGAATGACTATTATTTAGCTGAAATTATTGTGTCAATAAAAATCAGGCTGAAGGTTGCGGGAATATTTATGTACGAACTGAAGGGCCAAGCAGGCTGTATTGTTAATATGGAGAAGGGTTATTACAGGAATTAAAGTCCCAATAAATTTTTAAAAGAGTTGAAGGAGAAATAGAAGTCTGTATAAGCTTTTTTACAGAACGACATTATGTATAAATGTTTTTCTTCAAAGGCAGATGAATTTTTTAAACAGAAGACCTACCTAAGTAAAGCAGTAGGGATTCACTTCACGAAAACCTGACAGTGAGCACCTTAGCCAGTATGAATGTTTTCTATTAATAAAATTCCTGCATCGTGATTTGTGTTGATAAAACTTATTCTTGAGATATTATTTTAAGACTTTTTGGGACCTTCTCCAAGTAGTCTAGGGTAGAAACACCGATTGATATCATAACTGGTTAGATGATATGCAAAAAATGTGAAGTTCAGTGGCTAGGACTAAACCCTGAAGAAGGGAAAATGCAAAAGAGGACTTCTGTCTTATATTCTACCGAAAATAAATCAAAGCAGTACTTCACGCCACGTATTCAATTTTTATTTCTTTGATCAGAGTTATCGTGACTACACAACATATTTTAATTGTTTTTTTTTTTATATAGACAACAAAATATTGATTTTAAGATAGTACATTCCTTAGAGTGATCTCTTTTGTTTCTATAACGATCAGAGAGAGGTTACTCTTTTGATATAAGAAATGGTTCTTACATGGAAAACCTAGATAGCTCCAATGAGGTATAATATTGATGGATCTCCTTGGAGAAGTCTTATGTTCTCAAGGAGTCTTTCTACGACCTTCTTTAATTCATATATGGGTGTAAATTGACAAATATTTCCGTCAAAGTACCTTAGAGAATATTTTTCAAACGCTATAACAGGCCTTTACAATAATCTCTCAAAGGTTTTTCAGACCATAAAATTGTCTTTCCTGTTAGTTTTATTTTTTTTTTTTTAATTTTTTTACAAGGAATAAAAATTATACAACAATGATTTGAATTAAAATTTAATAAGACATTTTTTTATTTATTCAAGCCAATTAATAGCTAACTACAGAAAAGAAGTCAATGCAGTACTCCGTGACGTATGACTAACGACACAACTCATACGCCACATAACCGTTTTTAATTTCTTTGATAACTCTGTTCGCGACTAGACAGGATATTAGAAATTAATTGGAGGTTTTTTTGAAGACAACAAAAAATATTGATTTTAAAAAAATACATTCCATAGTGTGATCTGCAGATATATAATTATACTTTTCAAGATTCCAAATTATTTCCTTTCAAATCTTTCATTACATGCCTTCACTGTAAATTTTTGAGCAAATTTAAAGTTTTTTTTTCTTATATCTATAAAGCTTTATTATATTAAATTTTTCAATACTATTCAAGTCTTAAAGCCTTTTATTTACATATTTATTACAATTTATATTACAGTAAAACTAATACCAACAATAATATTTATTTTAATTCAATATTTATATTATACAAATAATATTCTGTAAAAAGGTAACTAATATACTAATATACAGTTCGGATTTTATGAAATATTTTCATTACCACTTTCTTGTATATTAAGGTAAGTTCCCAAGCAAAGAAAATAATTCATAAAATCCTGTCCCAAAGGACATGGGGACAATCAGTCTGTAAGAGATTTTTCATTTTCAGTAATCATTTTCTTTAAACATTTTTTTAGTTTATATACATTTTTCATAAATTTCTTTTTGATTTCATTTTTTTTTTTAAATCATTTTTTGTTTATATTTTTTTCTATTAATTTTTTTTTCTCTCCACTTCCAAACATCACAACTTATTTTACCTCTTTTATATTTCCATTAGAGCAGAACCAAAACAATCAAAAAAATATCAAATTCCATCATTAAATAGTTGCGGCCCATCATCAAAACAACAACAACAACTACTTATACCATACCATAATAGAAGCCATAGAATCCCAAATCCTTGGCTTTCTGTTTTTTGGTTGAAGGATAATGAAAGCTTTGCAGTTTTCTTTCTCTTCCAACCAAAATAATAAAAAAACAGGATTGTAGAGTATCGTAAACGACGGGACCATTAATTCCCCTCATATAATTGTTGTATTTAGTAGTAGTTTTTCATTTTTTTCCCCATTTTTGTTTCAATAGATTTTCCATCTTAAGGAGACTTAAGTTGTAGAGTTGTTTTTCTGTTGTTGTACTATTTTTCTATTGTTTTCTTCTTTAATTCTTTCTTTGGTTTATTTAGTTTATTATTACTTGTTTGTTTTCTATTTTGTTGTAGAATATCATATTGTTGTAGCCTGCCCGCTCGCTCTCTTCTTTTCTTTGGTGTACCGTTTTGATAATTTTAAAATCATTTCTCTGAGAATTTCATAGAAAATAAAAGTTATCCTCCCTCTGAAGAAAACAAAACAAAAAACTGAACATCTGAGACCATGCATTTCTCGGAATGACTGTTGTATAGTGCCTTGCACAAATATTATTTGTGGATTCCAAATTCCCTTCTTATCCCTCATTTTTTGTCTCACTTGCATCATCTTCGTCATTTGACCTTTTTTTTTGTTAGCCAAAGGTTAAAACTTATTTCTTTACGTCATGTGAAGTGTGAAATTTCCTCTTCATTTCCCTTTATTAACATTTCAAAGAAGAAGAAAAAAACATTGACTCAACTTTTTTTTATATTTTGTCTTGATGGTGTCATCGATTCTCCATTTTCTTATTTTTTTTATTATTTTCCTTCGTCATCATATTCTTCTTTCAAGCATTCTTCTCATTAAATTTCATTGTAAATAACATGAAATCTTCTTCTATTTATCAAATCAAAAGGAAATTATTTGATGTATATACATATATATATAGTACGTATGTACATTGTGTCTGTATTTGTATGTGTTTGAATATTGACAATACGTGGTTTATATATATGAAAACTTATGATTTAAAAGATTATTCAAATTCCAATAAGACTATAGAATTTAAATACAGACCATACACCACGAAAATCAACCATCAAGGTTTATACATGGTCAATAGAACGAAGAGGTTGTTGACGTCCAACAAAGTTGTAGGGAACTATTAAAGGATCTTCCGAATTTTTAAACATAGTTTTTCAATGGACCTTCCTTTATTTGTAAATTAAAATATATATTTCTACCAAGGACTTTTCGAAAACATAAGGAATATTTTATTCAAAGACCTCAAATGTGATCAAACAAATATGCTATCAATGGGACTTCCGCGCCTTAGAAAATAATTTATAACCATATTTTTGCAGGGTCTTTCAGAACGTCTAAAAGTCTTTTGTCTGTGGATCTTCCATAGCCATAAATACAATTTTTCCAAAGAAATTCCGCACTTAACGCATTAAACTTTTTTATTACCATTCAGAGCTCTAATCGTGGACTTTAGAAAACAATTTTTATAAAGGACAATAGAGGCGTCAAGCGTTGACTGGACTACAAATTTCTAAAAAACCCTTTGACTCTTTACCTTTGACTCTAAAAATAATACAATTGTCAAAGGACCTTCCAAGATATATATATATATATATATATATATAAGGCCTTAAAGGCCTAACTTGAACATTAAAAACTATATTTATTTTATTTATTTTTTTATTTTATTTATTTTTTATTTATTTATTTATTTTTTTTTTTTTTTTGAAAGGCCTTAAAGGATTTAAATAAACTTTAAGGGCCCAATTTATATTTTTCAAACGAACTTATCGGTCATTTTTAGCCTCTAACTGTGGACATGCATGAACTTCAAAATACAAATTACATGAATGATCCTTCGCCCTAAAAAGGCTTAAAAACAAAATAATTCAAAATATATTATTTTCAATAGATCTTCCAGAGTTATTTTTTTTCTTTTTTTTTTTTTTTTTGCAAAAGGTCTTCAACGTGAATTTTGAAAAATATTTTTCAAAGAACCAGAGAGTATATATTCAAAAAAATTTGTTTAAGAAATCTTGTAGACCTTTAACCAAGACATTTTAAAACATACTTTTGATAGGACATCTAAAATGTTTTCTCAAAGGATCTTAAAGAGCCCAAATTATATTTTTATAGGGACATTTTAGTCTCTAAGTGTGTACATTTTAAAATTGTACTTCCAGAGCCATTAAACATATTTTTCAAACGGATCCTTTAGGCAATTGTCGGTTATTCTTTTAAGAAACCCCGAAAAAATATCGTTTACAATACCCTTGCCTTAAAATAATATTCCTTAGTCAAAATATTCTCCGCCCTGATGTGGCGATTTTTTACTATGATTGTGTCATAATAATTGCTTGAATTATTTTCCACATCAAAACAAATCTGAAACATTTTCCTTCACAACACTTTTTAATTCACTTCAGTATATTTATAAAAACTCTAAAAAAAATATTTTTTGATAGGACAACGGTGCGTATTAGTGTTGACACTACTTATACGCATAAAAGTCCGGATTCCGTTATTTTAGTGTCCAGGAAAGGAAATGCCAAATTACAGACATTTATTTTGAAAATTAACAACCTGCAAAATATTTAAAATCGGTCGGGACCCTTATACGGGAGTTATGGAAAAACGTGAAATATGGAAAACCTATATGGGTTTTATTGTTTAAATGATGTATACACGCACTTGGCGTTAGTATCTCTTTGATAGAAAATCTTAGACCACGATTTTTTTCCCAATGTTCGGCAATTAAAATAAGTCATTGGGTGCCAAGTAAAGGCTGTTCAGCGGATGACTCATCAATTCCACATTTTAGCCTTTCAAAAAGGATCTGATTTGTAAAAGCTCGCCTGGCAATGGTGGACAAAATGTAATTTTCTCTTGGAGAAATTCGCAAAATCATCAAATGTCTCCGAAGTCTCCAGACAAATAAATTGCAGTGGCACACGGTCCTAAGTAGCTCTGGAAAAAATAATATTTTAAAAATCCAGGCCTTGTGGGCTCTGGAAAAAATATTATTTTAAAAATCCAGGCCTTATGGGCTCTGGAAAAAATATTATTTTAAAAATCCAGGCCTTATGGGCTATGATGAGGCTCAACTGGGCGAAGATGGTCAGATTGGACAGGGTAAGGCCGAAGAAAAAATGTAATTTTCTCTTGGAGAAATTCGCAAAATCAGCAAATGTCTCCGAAGTCTCCAGACAAATAAATTGCAGTGGCACACCGTCCTAAGTAGCTCTGAAAAAAATAATATTTTAAAAATCCAGGCCTTATGGGCTATGGAAAAAATATTATTTTAAAGATCCAGACATTATGGGCTCTGGAAAAAATAGTATTTTAAAAATCAACGCCTTATGAGCTCTGGAAAAAATAGTATTTTAAAAATCAACGCCTTATGAGCTCTAGAAAAAATATTGTTTTAAAAATCCACGCCTTATGGGCTATGTAAAAAATATTATTTTAAAAATCCAGGCCTTATGGGCTATGATGAGGCTCAACTGGGCGAAGATGGTCAGATTGGACAGGGTAAGGCCGAAGAAAAAATGTAATTTTCTCTTGGAGAAATTCGCAAAATCAGCAAATGTCTCCGAAGTCTCCAGACAAATAAATTGCAGTGGCACACCGTCCTAAGTAGCTCTGAAAAAAATAATATTTTAAAAATCCAGGCCTTATGGGCTATGGAAAAAATATTATTTTAAAGATCCAGACATTATGGGCTCTGGAAAAAATAGTATTTTAAAAATCAACGCCTTATGAGCTCTGGAAAAAATAGTATTTTAAAAATCAACGCCTTATGAGCTCTAGAAAAAATATTGTTTTAAAAATCCACGCCTTATGGGCTATGTAAAAAATATTATTTTAAAAATCCACGCCTTATGTCCCTTGAAAATGTAGTATTTTCAAAATTCACGCCTTATTGGCTCTTTAAAAAAGTAGTATTTTAAATATCCATGCCTTATGGGCTCTGGAAAAATATATTATTTAAAAAATCCACGCTTTATATGCAATTGGAAAAAATTGTATTTTTTGGAAAAAAAATGTTAAAAATAATTACACGAAAACGTGCGAGTTAATTCTATTTCTTTCGGCAAATTTATTTTTCATGTCACTGACACATGATCGTTCGCCAAGCAGTACTAAGTACTTTTATACTAAAAAATGTCAAACTTTCCAATTTTGCCTAAGCCCTCTAGTCTTCGATAAGGTTCCCAAAGGTATCTCAAAACGTAATTTATAATTAATTCAATATAATTTCTTCGTTAAAATTTGCCTACAGACCGACCATTAAATTCCAGAATTCTAAAAATCTGGCCTTATTTTCATCTAATAATCGCATCATTGTTTCATTTCCACTTTATAATTTATAGTAGGTGTCCATATTATAATAATTTTATTGGCTTATAAAATCATTGACCAAGTCTATTAATGCTATACATTTAATTGTCCACGACTTGACTTGCCAGTAGGGCAGATATTACAAACATTCCTCCCTCCACGATATTTAAACAAATCGCAAACCCAACATTAACTACTGCATCGCTACTGGTCCTTTGAACAAAATACGCACATGCTGTCGTTTAATAAAACCTGTCATTAGATAAAATTTTCATTACGCATAAAATATGATTTTCTTCCAAACAGAGACACCCCCTTCCACCCTATCCGCTCATAATAGTCTCGCATCATAACCATCATTATTATCAAACAACAACAACAACAACGTTCCATTGTCCATTTTATATTTTTGTTCGTGGCCAAGTGGTTGTTGGCTGGCTACTCTATGCTGAGCATTGTTTTTGGGTCCATGGATTTTCAAGGATTCAAATGTCGTTAAATAAAATTACAACAAACAAACAAGCAACCGACCAGCCAGTCAACCATCCCAGCCACCATTCCATGCCACATTTTTATTTAATGTTATAAAAATTATAATTCCACTTTATGATCTCGAATAAAGTTTTATGGGTGAATTCTATGAGACATGTTTAAATAAAATACATTCTTAAGCGTAATGTGAGTTTTTGGGGTGCGGGATTTTATTTAGAAGGAGTATAAAATATGAAGAATCTAATTATGTTAAAAAAATTAATGTGAAAATCGAAAACAATTTAAACTTGGATTTTCAAGGCTTCATCTGGATTTTCTGGCGATGAAAATATTGTTGGGATGTTTATTTTTTACCATGAAGAAATTTTTATATTTCTACTAAGAAAATCGGAGTATATATTTGTATAGATTTTTTCTTAATATTTCAAAATAAGTTTGCATGTTTTATTGAATATTTTTATAAAAAAAAATAATTTTTTTTATTATAAAAAAATTCTTGCTTTTGTTCTTGCATGATGTACTTTTGTGTAATGAATGTGTAAAATTTTTGAATATTTTTTTTATTCGTATTTAATTATTTTGCTTATAATCTAAAAAATTATGTATTACCCCTAAATAACTACAACAAATTGTACTAATATAACTATTTTTATTTTTCTCTTCCTTGTCTCTCTCTCTCTCTCACTCTCTCTGTCTGTCTTACAGTGCCACAGAGGGAGCTGATTCATTAGCAGCATCCGGTGATGAGGCTCAACTGGGCGAAGATGGTCAGATTGGACAGGGTAAGGCCGAAGAAGTGAAAAGTACGTGTCACAATTCCAAAATCAAACAAAAATTGGTAACATTTTTTTTATAAAAAAAATACTAACAACAAAATTTTATTTTATTAAAAAAAAAGAATGAAAGGTTTTAATCGAGAAATTAAATTAAAAAAAAAAGAAAAAAATTGTCTTAAATGACAAAAAAGTGACAGGTTACTTTACTAACAGAAACAAAAATACCAAACAAAGTTCCCCATAACTCTTAGAACTTTACTCTCTTTCTCTTTATACATAGTATATATCTCTTTTTCTATTAGCACTCATAGCATATTTCATAAAAAAAATATAAAATTTTTGTACCCTCCGCCAAACAACCTTTTTTTGAACCAAAAATTTCCATTAGTAGACAATAAAAATGTAGCACCTACTTTTATACTGTAAAGACTTTGAAGTAGGGTAGAAAAAAAACAAAGACGAAAACGTCTCTATTTTTTACCTATTACCCTGACTTCAAAGTCTTCACTTCCTATATATCACACTTTTTCTCTCTCCCCGCCCAACCACCTATACAAAAAAAAAAAACAAAGCCCAATAAAAATTCAGATCAGTGCAACCTTTTAACCAAGTAGAACCAAAATTTCAATTTGAATGCGTTCAATCCCGCATTTCGTTGTCAAAACATTCTCGAATTTGAACCTCATTATTTAGTTTAAGTAGTTATTTCAAAACTTAACTAACCCTATACCCAGATATCATTACCACCTTCCCTGTTTTGGAACTTATTAATCCAATATCAATTTGTCTATTTTCAAAACAAATTCTCTATCTTTTCAAAATCGAACAGTTACCACAAAGGTGACTCAACAGGCCAAACATTTTGGTTCATTTTTATCATCGGCTTTCACTGAGGCTGGTTCAAAACTAAAAGAAACTGTCAAGAAGAATGTAAGTATTTTCCAAAATTTTCACAACACCCCACCCTTACCTACCTTACTAATAAAACCTTTTATTCTTCTTCTTCTCCATCTTCGCCTGTAAAGCCCATTATGGAATCATTTAACAAAGAACAAGAAGCCTTTATTAAAGGCCAGGCTGGCGGTAATGGTCCAGCTGTTGCCCCCTGGGTTGGCCTAACCAATGAGGCAAAAATTAAAGAAGAAATTATGGGTCTATCCCAGGATAGACGTAACTTTGTACGTGCACCACCGGCTGGTATTGATTTTGAATTCAACTATGATACCGCCTATCCTACCGCCCAGGCCATTATGGAAGAGGATAAGAACCTGGAAACAATGCGTTTTGAATTGGTACCCAAAATGTAAGTTTTCCCGATTTTTTTCTCTAATTTCTACTGACTTTAATAAAAAAACTCATTTATCCATAATTTTAGCATCACCGAAGAGAATTTCTGGAGAAATTATTTCTATCGCGTCTCACTTATTATCCAGGCCGCTGAATTGGGTACCTTGGGTGAAGATGGTGTTGCACAAGCCTCAAGTGGTGAAGATGGTATGTACTAATTAGTTCTTATTCTAGCGACTAGTTTCGTCCCCTTTCTCTCTGTCTCTCTCTCTCTATCCGTCTCGATCTATCTCTTATCTGTCACTCTCGACAAAACTCTATAACTCAGTCTATCTATCAAATTTCTACAAATGAAAATCTACCCTTTAGTTTTCCTTATTTTATTCTGTTCATTTTTTTAGTTTTGAATTTTGTAATCTCTCTCTTGTCATCATGAATTTATCAATTTTTATTAATTTAAATTTCAGAAATTATTTAGAGTATTATTAATCATCTGTTTATACTTTTGTAAATATTTTTTTTAGTTATTTGTAATGAAAAGAAATTTCTCAATGTGTTGCAGATGCAAATGGATTTTCAACATGAGGAAGAAAAAATCTCAAAGTTTTCAATGGAAGTGTCAGATTATCACAGGCAATATAGTATAGTAACCCTCACGTAGCAAATATACACAGCTGTGTACGAAACGTAAAAGCAGATCAACTTCGAGGAGGAGCTGAATCAGCCCAAGAACTGCTTGCAATTTTAAATTTCTTATTGTTAGTGGATGAGAAATCGTGACCGTAATCAAAATAACTTTCGAATTAATATAGATTGAAAGTTAAAATTATTCGCATTTAAGTCCAATACATCGCCAAGTCAGTTTTTAAATACCGTAAACTTCGAGTAAGCATTCTAATTCGAAACTGCTGTCCCATTCTTTGATGGCCACAATCCCTTTAGCTATTCTAAGAATTTCACTTTTACATATTCCCAAATTTTCATAATATATAGTCTCTCATGAAGACAGTTAGCAGCATAATTTCTCCTTGAACATAAATGAAATATAAGCAAATGGGTCCCGAGGTCAGCATGTCGTTTTTAAAATCGTTTTAAATTTTCAATAGATCCGATATTTTTAGTGGACTAAGTTTTTATTTCAAATTTTTTGTTTCAAGTATTGGCTCATCTAGACAATTCCGTTGAAGCTTGCCAGATTTCCACAAAAGTGAATAATTTATTTCATATCAGACTTTTGGAGACGATGGAATCTGCTAAAGCCATAATCCTGGTTCTTTCGGTTTCACAGTGGAACGATCAGTTGGTGAATTATTAATAGTTCAAGTCACTACGACTGTATTTTCATACATAGGCGGCTAGAAGGTTCTGGTTTAGTATCCCTAGCTCCAGTTCCCTCAAAAGTAAATGTATTTCGAACCTAGTTTTGCGTTATCTCAGGTTTTTGTAGTCGAAATAACTTGTCTTCTTTTTCCGAAGGAGCTTGTGCAGTGGTCACCTTTTCATATCAATTGTCTTCCTTTGTATTACGGATCTCTTTAAATCTAGGGATTACCCTCTAAAGTTCTGTTTGAGTACAGATCCAAGCCTCCAGTTTTCATTTGGTGGATTATTAGTAGTGGTTCGGATGAAGTTTGTGCCTAGGTCGCCTTTTGCACGTGTTGAAGTCACCACGAATGTCTTTTTATCCATAGGCGCCTTAAAGGTTCAGGTTTAGTACAGATTCCTGTCTCCAGTTCCCACAAAAGTAAATGTATTCCGAATAAAGCTTCGCTTTGTGTCAGGGTTTTGGATAGAACTTGTCTTGTTTTTATACCCTTCACCAAACTGTGATACAGGGCTATATGTGCATATGTTTGTAACAGGCAAAAGGAAACGAGATAGACACATGGTTCCATAGAATCTTTCTGAGTCGATTTACGCATGTCCGTCCGTCCATGTATTTTTGTGAACAAAGTACAGGTCGCATTTATGATCCGATTTGGATGAAATTCGACATAGGTTACTTATTTGGCCCAAGGACGAACCCTATTGGAATTGGGAAAAATCGGTTCAGATTTAGATATAGCTCCCATATATTGTTTCGTCCGATTTTACGTAAATGGTGTACCATAGTCCCTATATATCATTCGATTTGCACTATATTTGGCACAGCGTAATTAATTAGGCCTAGAATGATGTGTGCTGAGTTTCATGAAAATCGGTTCAGATTTAGATATAGCTCCCATATGTAGTTTCGTCCGATTTTTTGTAAATAGTGCACCAAAGTCCCTATATATCTTTCGATTTGTACGAAATTTGGTACAGCGTTATGAATTAGGCCTAGAATGATGTGTGCTGAGTTTCATGAAAATCGGTTCAGGTTTAGATATAGCTCCCATATATAGTTTCGTCCGATTTAATGTAAATGGTCCGCCAAAGTCCCTATATATCTTTCGATTTGCACGAAATTTAGCATATCGCATTCAATTAAGTGTAGAATGATGTGAGCTAAGTTTCGTAAAAATCGGTTCAGATTTAGATATTGCTCCCATATATATTTTCGTCCGATTTAATGTAAATGGTGTACCAAAATCCCTATATATCTTTCGATTTGCAGGAAATTTGGCATATCGAAATGCATTAGGTCTAGAATGATGTGTTTTAAGTTTTGTGAAAATCGGTTCTGATTTAGATATAGCTCCCATATATATTTTCGTCCGATTTAAGGTAAATGGTGGAGCAAAGTCCCTTAATAACTTTCGGTTTTGCACGAACTTTGGTACAGCGTAATGTATTAGGTCTAGAATGATGTGTGTTAAATTTCCTGAAATCGTTGAAATCGGTTCAGATTTAGATATAGCTTCTATATATGACCAAATGAAAAAATTAGTATAGGTTGCAGAATGACATGTTTATGGATCGAATTTCATTTTGCTGGCCCTTTAAAAATGCAACGCCTGTTAGGATTCATCTGTTGAATATATCCAAAGTGGTGAACGGTATCATATAGTCGGCCACGTCCGACTTTACTACTTTCCTTACTGGTTTCAAAGGAGTTTGTGTATTGGTCACGCACTTTCCTTCCTTTGTACTGGTCGATGATACAACGGATCTCTTTTCATCCAAAGGTCACCGTCGAAGGTTCTAGTTGAGTAGAGATTGCTGGCTTCATTTTTCCAGCTCTATTAGCTCTATTTACAGTCATTAGGGCTGTCTCCAGGTTTGAATTTGGAAAATAATATTTCGTGATGGTCGTTGGGTGTAGTTCAGAAGGAGGAGATTGTCAAGGCTGCCATACCTACTTCACTCGTAGTACAATAATTATTTGTTTTTTGTTAAGGAGTATTTTCTCCTTATGTCAGTTGTTGTGAGCGGTTTTTGGAATGAACTTGTCTTGTTTATTTTTCCGAAGGAGTTTTTGCAGTGATCAATTTTTCTTGCTCTCGTCTTCCTTTGTAGCTCTCACCTTCCTTTAATTATATTGCGGAGAAGATTCGTTGGTCTCCGTTCAAATACAGTCGGTATCCTGGCTGCAAACTCCGAAATACTATTGGATACGAAATCGCCAAGGTGACCTCGATCTTATGTAGAGTTAGTTATTTAAATGACGCTATTTCTGCCTAAACAATCTTGGGTCATTTCCTTCGAAACTCTCCTCCAAAACGCTTTGACTGCCAACGAATTTTATTGGGCTTCCCACTAACCTGTATACGCATCCGATAAAATTCTGCTCTACTCCTTGTAGGCCATCCATCTCCAGTAACAGTAATGCTTCACTGAAGGAAATATTAGGTGGTATAATTCAAGCCAATATTTCCAGATTTTAATTTAGACCAGAATAAGAGTTATTTTGGATAAATTATCCCAATTGTCAAAGAATTGCCATGTAATGTCAACGGATATGTATTAACCAGTACTCTCAATAACATTGTTTTCTTTGTAATCTTTACTTAAGGATCCATGCGGGATTAAATCTGAAAGATTTTCCTGCATTTTATTCATGAAGGCCTTTAAACATTAAACGGTGAACATTATTTTTTAGAAATTGTAGAACATTTATTTTTGTTTTTGTAGCAGCCCTATTGTTTTTACACAATGGGCTAAGGCGACACACCTTGGACTCAGGTAGTTTCGGGTCGTAGACCCCTCTGTTGTGGAAACGAACATTTATTGTAGAACTTTTAGTTGCCAACAATTTAGATAAGGTGTGGTCTTCGGCGGGCTATAGACCACTGTTCTCCCAAAATAATTAATTAGCGACATTTCCCGGGCATTAGCCTCCTCCCAAATATTAATCCATATTAATATTTAGATTGGATCGAACAATATTGGTCCATAAACGCTATCAACATTGAGAAATTTATTCATTACTTGATTTTTGTTTGTTTAGTTGTTCTTGTAATTAGTTTATATTTTAACTTCATGATTTAATTATAAGCCTTTCAGCTTCCTTATTTAATTTAATTTCTTAAAACCCCAAAAAATGCTATTTTTAACTGCAGCTATTTAAAAAAAAATATATATTTTCGAAAAATCGATTCCAAGCAAAAGTTTCAAATTCAACCCCTGATAACGTTTTATAACTCTTCTCAATAACGAAAAACAAAATATTTTTAAATTTAAAAACTCTACACACACCTCTCTATCTCTCAGTTTTCAAATATCACTATCTCTCTTTCAATATATTTATCACACACAATTTCAAAAAAAAAAAAAAAAACTGAAAACATTTTTTCTTACTCTCACAGTATTTTTAAAACAAACAAAAGCTTATAGTTTTACTCGATTTTGTTCATTTGTACATTTTATTATTTTAGTTCAAACTCTCTGTCAATATGTCTCTCGCTCTATTTCGAAAACTCAGACAGTTTTGTTTTCTTAATTAATTTATAGCTTTATTATTTGGTTTTTGGTAAATTTTTTTGTTTTTGGTTCTTTCAAAAGTTACGCGAGCGCACTGTAAAATTCAATTCAAGCACACATGCTATAACGTTCGAAAATTAAAAAAAACTATCTCTTATATCCTGTTACTCCTCCTCTCTCTCTCGCTCTCTTGATCTCTGTTTAATTTATACTATAACTGTCTGTCTAAGTTTCGCAAAAAATCGAAAAAAAGAAAAATTAAAATTCAATCTTAGACTCTGAACTAACACTGATTTGTGAGCAAGAAAAAAAAAACACCAAAAGAGAAATGCCTCTTAACGTTCTCATATAAATCTGTAACGTTTTCTTTTTTGTTCTGCTCTCTTTCTAAAGTTATATTTCTTTAAATTGTTTTGTAATCATTTACTCCCACATTTGTTTTGTCTTTTCTTTAATTGTTTTCCTTCTAAGCTCAGTTTTGTAATTTTTGTTTTGAAAATTGAAAACTCTGCACAATTTTATTATATTTTGAAGTTTCATTATTATTTACATTGTTTTTAAAAATTTTTATTATTATGTTTTCTTTTTTATTTTCATGTATGATTTTGGTTACTCTACTCTTTTGTTTTATCGATTTAATTTGGATTTATTTTAATTAATGAATTTGAAACTGAAATTCAAAAAAATTACACGACTCCAACAAAACCGAACACAACACCACAACATACAAAACTCAATTGTCTACAAAAAAAAAAATAATAATAAATAAAAATTTATAAATTAAAAAAATAAATTGAAATCAAAATTAAAATGGAAACCCCGTGAAAAACAACCCAATCAATAAATTAGCCAAAGTTTCTAAATCTCAAGAAACCACCACTTCCGTTGAGAGCTCAAAATTAAATTCCCAACAAACAGCATCAT